GGGAAATAACGTAACTCCCAATCTGCTGGATGTAGATATACCAAGAGTGAGTTCCCCAAAATTGAAGAATGAGCAACAGATGTTAACAGTAGGAAAAATTTATTAAGAGAGATAGCTCCTGAGAGATAGGAGGGGACCCAAAAGTGGCTTGCCCACAAGTGTGCTTCTCAAAGGAAGTTTTATAGAGCAAAAATCAAAAATCGTAAGATAAATACAAAATCAAGAGGTGGGGACAGTGCAGGTCAAAACTGTGATCAACCAATAAGATTACAAATGCAGTTGTGTAGGTAACACTGATCCAGTGGGGAAGCAGGTCACATAGCAAGGGGACATGGAAAAATACAAAGAACTTTTTCAAGAAGCGAGGAATCAGGAGGTGCTGGTCATTCACCTGAGTGATTGATGTCATCTTGACTTCATCGGACCAGTGATACCATTTATCTTATCCCCTGGGGAGGGATTGGTCATTCTGTCTTTATCTTGAGGCCTGGCCTTCAACACATGCGCCTCCAGCCACCCTTGTAATGTGTTCTCATCCTCTGTACTGACTCCCTCAAGGGCCTTAGTCCTGTCTGATAGCCTACAATAGCTCTATCTACCTTAGTTGTCTATAACAATTGGGTCACCCAGCCCGTTTTGAAGAATCTGGGAGCAACAACTGCTTCTTGGGAAGCGAATGACTATTATGCTGAATCACATGGGGATCATTTGAAGTGAAAACAAACATTCCAGTCATGACAGAACAAGCACAAGAAGTGCTGGTTAGGAAGAGCCCACGTATTCTCTTCACGGCCGTGTTTCATTATGTGTGCAACATTTGTACTGAGCAGTCATCGCAGGCATCTTCACAGGATGAAATTTTGCAGAGACAAAATGTGAATCAGAACTCTACAAAGTGAGTAGGTAGCTTTTCTTTTCTTTCCTTCCTTATTTTTCCCTGGTGAAGGAATGTCTATGAGACAGTATGAACCAGGCAGTGTTCCACAGCAGAAAAAGTCAGAAGTCCTGTAAAAGATTCTGTTTTCATTAAAATAAGATTGAAGGCAAAGAAGAAAAAATGGGAGAGAATTAAAACCGATTTTCATTCATTTCCCAGATAGTTCCTGGGTGACAGCTATGTTCTCAGACTGACAGACAGTGGTGAACTGAACCTGGGCCTGTCCTCCAGCGGCTCATAGTCAACTTGGGACTGATGGGGGTCTGAAAAAAAACAGATACAGGAGAGGGATCAGAAGTGCAGAGGAGGCAGGAAAAGGTTTTGTTACGTTTTTTGTTTGTTTCTGATTGTGTTGCTTGAGACCTCCTGGCTTCCCTTCACTGCTGGACACTGGAAGCAGTAGTGCTCCTCCCCGGTGGGTGTAGCATTGAAGCCCGCTGGATGGCTATGGGGCTGGGTGGCCTGTTCCTTGTTAGCAGTGATGAGAATATGCTGAGCAGCTGCTGCCGTTGACGAACTCTACAGGCTGGCACTGTCTCACAGCCATCTGAACACATCCTTGTCTTGCCATCCTCTGATCCTATATATTCATGCACCACGGATGCCTGAATTTAAAGCATCATCTGAGAACAAGCCAAACGTATGTCCTGTTATATGCTTGATTTCTGCCCTTGGGCAGCAAACAGGCATCTGAAATTTATGTTGTAAACTGAGCTCTTGATAGAGATTATCCAAGCTGCCCTTCCCACAGTCTTCTGCCTCTCCATAAGTGGTAGTTGCATTCTTCAAGGGGCTCAAGTGGAACTTCCTAGAGCTATCTGTAGTGTCTCTCTTTAATCAGCGCTCCTTGTCTGGTCTGCTGTCTTTTAGATCTCCCTCAAATTCCACCCTTCCTGGCCAACTCCACACCTCCTGCTCTGCCCCTGCTCACTGGGGCTATCACTCCCTCTTCTCCTGGCCCACTCTGGCCCATTCTGGCTGTCCCTGTTTCAGAGACTCCTCCACACAGGTCAGCCCATGCACTGTCTCTGTAAATTCTCCTGCATCTCCCATCGATTCAGACAAAGCCCCAGTCATGCAGTGCTGTGCCCGCTTTGCTTCCCTGCACTCTCCTGCCTCCTGGATTCAACCTTTGACTCCCCTCTTGCCATACTTGGTTCCTTCTTGATGTCAGCACTCTGGCACTTCCAGGTCTCTGTGTGGTTGCTCTGTCACCTCCATGTTTTCAGGGTCATAATTAGGTCCCCTCAGAAAAAAAGGCAAATTCAGAGTATTGTAACCTCAGGAGGATTTGCTGCAGTAGGTAATACTGTCACCCAGGGCTTGGGGGCAACTAGTCCTGTGTTCTTTCTCTCTCCCTCTCTTTCTCTTTTCTTTTCTTTCTTTCTTTCTTTCTTTCTGTCTGTCTGTCTGTCTGTCTGTCTGTCTGTCTTTTATTTGAGGGTTTTGTTTTTTGCTTTTTGAGACAAGGTTTCACTATCTTGAACTCACTATGTAGCCCATATAGCCCAGGCTGGCCTGGAACTTTCAGTGATCCTCCTGCCTCAGCCTCCCAAGTACTGAGATTATATCCTGTGGTGTTTGAGAAAGGGGTTCACAGTGTCTGTAAGATGTTCTTCCAACTGCCAGCTCCCACTCTGCATATTTTAAGGAACTTATTGATATTGATGGGTTTTCAGACAACAGTGAAGATTTCTATCCCTTCTGATCAATGTCCTTACATGATCTGTGACCTAAAATGCTGAGGGTGGTATTTGTCCAGTCACATTGCTAGGAATACCACAGTAGCTCCCTCTCTCATGTCCAGGGATCACATCCCAAGATATTCAGTAGATGCCTAATAACAAAGGTGGTCCCAAACCATATATATACCAAGGCTTTCCTGCACCATTCCTGTATAGCTTTGATTTGTAAATTAAACACAGTAAGACATTTTAAACCATAATGAAACAGAACAATTTTATAATGACTTATTTAAATATCAATTATTTATTTCTAGAATTTCCCCCTTTCAGATCTTCAGACTTTAGTTGATCATAGGTAACCAAGACTAAGAAACGTAAAACTTTGGATAAAGAGGTCACTTTGTTTATGTGCAGGGATTGCTGTCTTCTGATGTACAAAACAGCTCACCTTAGAGCAGGTGAGGGAAGGAACAGGAAGTCTGTATGGCTGCTGGAGCTAATTCCCAGGATGCACAGCCCAGTGGGGGTAGGAGGCGGTGGGAAGGGTGGTGTCTTAGTCACTTACATCATCACTGAGGCACAACACCCAACACCCAAAGCCTAAAGAAGGAAAAGTTTATTTTGGCTCAGATTCTCTGTCCGTGGCTGGCTGACTCCAGGGCAGAAACAACATGGAGGAAGGGCCTGATGGGGAAAGGTGCTCAGGTCCTGGTAGCTGAGAAGCAGAGAAGGAAGGGAAGGGCCAGCAAAGGAGGCACACCCTTCCAGGCCACACCCCCAGTCGCCCACCTTTTGTTACCAGGTCCACTCCCAACAGCACACTCAGCCGCTGAAGTCAGCACGGATGCTGAAGTCACTACTGATGAGCACAGAACCCACATGATCCAATCACCTTCTCTCTTGTCTTGTCTCTCAGTGCATGAGAGTTCTTTGGACCATTCCAGATCCAAGCCACAGTAGCTAGAAACTCCGGACAAGACTGTCCTGAGGATTACTAAAAAGTCTCTTCTGGTGCCCAAGCCATTGCCTCTTGCAAAGACCCATATTTTTCAATTTACTGACAACTTATTTTTTTTAATTTCTGCTTGCCCTTTAATGTTAGGTGACTTCTGAGTTTTAGTTTTAAAGTATTTCTACTTGATTAATTTTTTGACATGTAAAATACTTAATGAGAATCTTCGGATTTTGGAGAATTTATATATCCTTTCATACAGGCACATCATTTAGCAACACACACGTCACCCTCTGAATCATCCACATTTGTGTGAGTTGAGATTTCCTTCCCAATGTGGCCCTTCCTCAAGCATGAGGAAGAACATGAAGAGAGTTCAACACCATATGGTGAAATGGTTCACAGAATTTCTAGCTTTTGATGAAATCCACGTGGCTGACCAGAGGCAAAGACTGGCTCTCAATGAATTGTTCTATTGCTACTCTTGGCTGAGTCAGAGCTTGAAGAAGACAAGTGAAATTCAAGACTTCCGCTGACTAACACATTTACTGCGTTAAAAACAGATTCACTTTTTCAAAGTCACCCGAGTGCATTCTCTGTGCTCCCAAATTGTCCCATCATTAAAGTACCTGATGAATCAGTGATGCTTCTTGGCCTGTAATTTAAAACTCTATTCTAAGACAAACCAAAATGAAATGAAGTGAAATAAAACAGAGCAAAACCAGAAATTATGTTTAGTAGTGAAAAACTGACTGTTTCCTGGTAAAATATGCTAATTTCTAGGTTGAATTTCAATAAAAGCAGTAGAGAAGAATGAGGATATTCACCTGCCAAGTAATTAGAAGTAGCTCTTTAGAGAGTGTCATATTTGTTCTTTTACTAATGAGAGTCCATTTTTCTTGTTTACCTGCCTTATCTTTTTTTTAATCAGTGTTTTCTTGGTCAAAGTGAACTGACTGGTCTGCTGTTTACAGCCTCTGGCCTCCGCGGCACAGCGATAAGCACTCACTGCTCTTGCACCGGGGATCAGCGATTGCTGGCTGGGCCTGACCAGCATGAGTCTAGATCAGTGTAGGCTGCCTTGCTCCGTCTCCCATGGTGCCAGAAGGGTAGCCCGGAAATGCTTTTCTCATACTAAAAGGTGGAAACCAAAAGAGCAAGCAGAAACATGGGTGATCTCTTGAGGCTTAGGCTCCTAACTGGCACATTATCAATTATGCCTCATTTATGGGCTGGAGAAAGTTTCATGGACAGTGAAATATACTCTTCCTCCAATGTAAAATGACAAGAGATGTGAGCGCACTGGGGGGCTAAGAGTGAGAGCCTTTAGTGCTCTCATCTACCACAACTGCCTCCAAGAAACTGCTGTAAGCTAAAATTAATAAAAATTTTCTGCTGAGTTTTATTTACTTAATTTCTCTTTCAGAAAACCAGAACCCATGGCTTTCTTTGCAGTCTTTCCAGCGGTATTCTTCTTAGCACTGCTGTCCTGGAGAACTTGCCAGAGTGAAGGTAAGAAACAGAAAAAGCAGAGAAAAAAAGTGAAGTAATTTATGTTTTGGAGAAAAGCTAAAATTAACTCTTTTATTTCTTCGAGAATTAGTTGGAATTGGCATATACATTACATGAAGAGTGTATGGATCTTAATCTCCCTGCTTATGCATATTTTAATAAGGCGCCTCTTAACCCTGACTTCCTGGTCCACGCTGGGGTCGTCACTGTAGCTGTCAGGAAGTAAAATCCCACAGAACATCCTGAGTGATGTGCTGTCCCAAGGCCAGCGCTGGCGGAGGTCCTTCTGTGCCTTGCTGAGTAAAGACATGAAATGCGAAACACTAGTTCTGGCTACTTAATTGTTGTCCCTCAGCCACATTTATGGAGAAGCTGTTGGCTCTGTTAAACATGGGTGAAAGCAACAAAACTTTTGAATCACTTAGGTCTCTTAAGGTAGTGCTGAAATGTTGTTTACAGTTAAAGAAATAATATTTTTTGCTTAGCTACCCTGCAAAAAAGGATATTTTGATATAAATTAATTTTTTAACTAAGACCGGTACAACTCAAAATCTCTTGACATGTTTGTGGGTGCTTGACTGTAAGTAGATTCTTAGATTGGAGATTTTCTATTGGTTCACTGCCTTCCACCATGTTACGAAGCTTTACATTTTCCTCTTTCTATGTTTATTATTTTCTTTTTTTTTTTTTTTGTCTTTTTTTTTTGTTTTTATTGGTACCAGGGATTGAACTCACGACTGCACACTTGCAAGGAAGGCGCTTATGCCGCTGAACTAAATCCCCAGCCCCTATTATTTTCTATATTTTCTTTGTAATAAAGAATATTGATACACAAACTTAGGAATTATTCATTCAATTTCTGTTCATGAAGTCAGGAAAATGATGTTTACAAGGAATATGTGTATGATTTCTCATTATCTCGTAAAACTCCTGGAAAATATATTTGGGAAAGGAGAAAATTCCTTCTGATAGTAGTAGCTCAGTGACCTGACTAATGTTCTTTAGATATGGATTTCTTTATTTTCTACGTAGGTTACATGGAAGATACTACTTCTTATGGATTCTGTGTTAAAAACTATAGTGTGTTGATTGCTTCCATAATCTAGGGCTGAAAGCTAGGGACTAGCATTTTGCGTTAGTGGCACGTACACCTCTCACTCATTCCGTCTTGTCTGCTGAAATCTGAGCGTGCTGCAGCTGATCTGAGCAGTAGCCAGTACAATAAGAGCATCCTGTGCTCGGCAGTGGAAGCAGCAGCAGCTATCCCTGCCTCTCTACCGCGTCTACCTCCTCTTCTCCTTTGACCAGCAAACGTGCCTGGACTGGGACAGAAGCCGTAGTCCAGCCCCCGCCTTGGTGGGTGAAGACACCATACTAAATGAACAAAGACAGAACCCTTTATAGATGCTTTTTACAAAAGGCATCTGTGCGGCAATACTGCATTTTAATAATAAAAAGATTCCATATTATGAGGTGGATGGAAGTACAGTATTGTCCAACATAGATTTTGTAATCTCTGCATCAGTAATTTAGCTCTCTGATTCTTGCACATTCTGTTTGGGAAAAATTCAAGCCAGTTCTAGATAACTATCATCAAATTTCTCCAGCAAGTTCTAAGTTTGACAAGGAGCATCGTTTTTTGTCAATCTAATCTGGCTTTCAGAGAAGTCAAATGACTCTTTTCAAGATGAACTTGAAGATTATATTAAAGTACAGAAAACCAGAGCCAGAACGATGAGAGGACTATGAGAAGACTCCTATCTGGAACTGTCTAGACCTATTTAAGATTGTCCCATGTGTCACATATAGAGCATAGGCAGCTCAGTGGCTCCCAGCTCATGGCAGGAGGCCCAGACTAGAGTGTCTGAGCTACGGTTTCTCAGAAAACCAGTGCCCCTGCACCATAGCTAGCAGTAATATAATCACTATTCACCCAGTGTAGAATCAGGAGGTCTGAAGCACCTCTCCTCAGGAAACTGGAGCAGTGCCCATACAGCCAGTCATCGGAAGAGAAAGTGGCACCAGAAGAAGCAGGGAGAAACCAAAAGAGGAGCAGCCCAACCACTGGAGGAAAAAAGCTTTTGAGAAAAGATTATTTAGAGGAACACTAGAGCATCCGGAGGAAGAGAACAGAGTGGAAATGAAAAACGCTCATATCAGTGCAGGAAAGCCTAAGTATCTCAGAGCGGGGGGGGGGGGGGGGGGGGGAAGCTGAGGTGTAACCTCTAAGAAGGAGGCCCATAACGGGAAGAGAGAAAAAGGAACAAAACCGAGAAAGAACAAAGGAAGAAATTCCTGGGACTAGTCAGGCCGTAGATTTTGAAGCTCTTTAGTTGGTTCTCCTGAAACTAAATTGAACAAAACCAGCTGAGGCCTGGGTTTTATATTTGCTCCATATCATTCATGTGATAGGCACTTTAATTTCTAAGGACAGCCAGATGAACATGAAATATTTAGTACATTTGCTTTCCAACATGGAAATTACGTCCCCTCATTTTCTAAAAGAATTATTACATTTTTCTTATATTTGATACTACTTTGCTTTAGGAGAATGACTCTAGTTTGTTAAAATCACCATGACGCTGGAATTGTTTTTCCTTGAGAGATAATGTATTCTAAATTAGAGAATTAATAGACTTTGCAGAATGTATTTCTTGATTGGTTTGTTTTAGCTTTGAGCTGATTTCTTTTGTTCATTGGTTTTCTCTATGCAGCAATTCAGAATTTTTTACCCTTGTTAATTTGCAATGTTCTTTCTAGGTTGGAAAGTGGAAAATGAATACATTACAATAACTTACATTGTGTATAGTTTTAAGTTTCAAAGAATCAGGGCATGTTTATAATAAAGTATTTCATTAGTAAAAAGAAGGATGTCCAGCCCAGCCAAAGGACCTGATACTGAGGCACACCCTCCACCCCTAGCAGGCTCTCTGGAAAACCCCGGGAATTCCCTGCAGGATTCTGGCACAGAGCCTTCCCTAATGAAGACTCACTGATCTGTGCCTTCCCATGTGCATGGTGCCCTGCTCACCCTTGGCTTCTTTCATTGAGATCGGACTGGCTTACCCTCAACCAGTCTCCGCTGCTGCTCTCAGCTTCCCTGCTAAGCAACTTTCTTTGGTAATCAGATCTGTCATTAGCCTCATGTGGGGTGTTGCTGTTTACATTCCTTGTTTTAATTTCTGCTTTATTTGACTGAGTACCTACTAAAACTTCACCAAACTAGGTTGCTTACGACTCAATCAACCAGCTAGGTTTGGGTGTAAGGTTCTATTTTCTATAATCTGATCTAAACAATGAGACAGAGTCAAGAGTCTCTTCAGTTAATGCTAAGTACCTTTTCCAATCAGCCAGAAACCACAACTGTAGCACTGATGGATTTTTCCTTGTCGTGTGTGTGTGTGTGTGTGTGTGTGTGTGTGTGTGTGTGTGTGTATACAAAGATGCAAATATGTAGTTTTTGAAATAAACCTTAAATTATATGATATCCTGTGGCAATTTTAATTACTGAAACAACTATACAGCATAGGATGGATGTTTCCCTTTGATGTTAGATGTTTTTCTAGAAGTGACCTTGTAGTTAAGTTCTCCACGGTATAGCATCTTGTGAATGGACCAAATTTATTTCCTCAGTGTTGAGCCTGTCAGAGTGCGGGGTGGGAAAAGGGGGGAAGAGTCCCTAATTAAGTCCACGTCTGGTTCTGGTGCCTGAGCTTCCTGGTCACACTGCAGTATGACGAAAGGAGACGCAGGCTAGGAGCCTAGGAGCTCTGGATCTGGACTGGAGTGTGGCCTTGGCCAAGTGACTTTCCCTGTTGTAACCTCACCTCTTTCATCTGCAAAACAGTGGGACTGGACTTAGGAACTGTTTTGATTATTGCCTTTTCTCTCGTGTCTTTACCTTGGCATTTTATTGCTTTTGACCAAGTTATTTCCAACTGATGTTATTTAACTACCTAAGTCATTCAACACTTGCTGATAGCACAGGTTAATTTAAGCGCTTCTTTTTTGTCAAAAGCAATGTGTCATAACTTTCTAGAGATGCCGTCAGTAAAGCTGACATTGATAGGTGACTCATTCATTCAGCAGCCAATCACAGAAGGCCATGCTGCAACCAGTCTGTTACTAGCTTTGGTTTTCCAGAGCTAAGACTTAGTCACACCCTTGTTTATGCAACAGACCATGGGGTGCAGACACAGAAATAGCCTATTGCAACAGCTGAAATGAGTGCTCCAAACAAGTGTGAGAAAAGCCAGAGAGCGTTCTGAATTATGAGAAGAGCAAAGTGACCCAGATCTTAGAAGATTGCTTTTTAAATATAATGCACTATGTGAATCTGAAACTAGCACATATTTCCAAAGAATATTTATCAAATAAAGAAAATTATAAAGAAAAAATTAAAAGCCACCCAATATTAACATCCAGAAATGGTGACATTTTCATTTTACTTTTTATAGATTTTGACAACTAACTTACATATCTAAAATGACATAAATGGGTTGTATGGTTCAGTATGTTTTAAAACTCTCTTTGTATTAATTTATTCTGTGTTGCTAAAGGTGGGTACATTTTTTAGAAAAGAGGCCTGTTTAGCACATAGATTTGGAGCTAAAAGACCAGAATCAGGTTGCCCTGTTGGGTCCTTCTCCTGGCTGATGATATCATGGTGGCGCTGTGTGTGTGTGTGTGTGTGTGTGTGTGTGTGTGTGTGTGTAAAACAGATAGAGACAGACAGAGGAAGGGACAGAGAAAGAGAGAGACAGAGACAGAGAGAGGGAGAGACAGAGAGAGAGAGAGAGAGAGAGAGAGAGAGAGAGAGAGAACATCTTTTCATGTGCTGATGGACCCCTTCTGTATCACATCTGGAGAAATGTCCATTCAAGTCCTATGCCCACTTTTAAGTTGGATCCGTTGTTTTCCTGTTGCTGATTTGTAAGTGTCGTTTATAGTCTAGGTGCCAAAATCTTATCAAATATATGGTTTGCAAAGGTTTCTCCCATTCCATAGGTTATCTTTTACTTTCTCGAAACTACTCTTTTGATACACAGAAGTTAATCTTAGTGAAGTTCAACTTATCTTCTGTTGCTCATGTTCTAGTGAACATATTTAAGGATTCAGTGTCAAATCCAAGGTTCTGGATTTCACACTTAGCACTTTCACCCTCCCCCAGCATGGCATCGACACAGTGGCATGGTGGGGTGGGTAACGTTCTGTGCAGGTAACTCTAGAAGGCTAATGCTTTCCTTTGATGACTGCTTTCATTGAACTCTTCCATAGATGAGCTGTCTGAAGCTTTCTTCCACATTGTGAGGGTAACACCTTATCAAATCTGAAGCCATTTACCATGTAGACCAAAAACACGAGGAACTGCTTGCTTATCTTGTATCCTCCACTTACATGGCTCTGTCCACATATCTGTATCCTAAGCTTGGCAGGACACTGTTGAAGCCATGAAACATTTGTCTCAGACATTGAATCCCATGAGATATTTTATTGGCTATTTGCTCCTGTCTTAACATTTGGGGGACAGTGCAATAATGGTAGCACAGATTTTGATAGTAGGGAGGCCACTATTTGTATCTCCTAGTGTCGATCTTTGTGTACAGCTATTTAATCTCACAGAGCTTCAATTTCCTTACCTATAAAAAATGACTGTTGTATACTTTTATAGTGAGTGTTATTTGAGGCAGCACATGTGAAGCAGCTACTGTTGTGCCTGCTGAATAATGCATGCTCGGTATTGTTCTTGTTGCTTTTATTTCCCTATGAAAAAAAGCAGTTTATGTCTACTGGCAATGAGGATTTTTTCAGTATTGGCGATTGCTTTCATTTTTGGTGTCAAAAAGAGATACTCTCTCACAAATTTTGTATTAGATCTCAAATTACTAGAGAAAACTTACAGTAAGTTAAAAAAATGAGTGCTCAGTAGATGATGTTTGTTGTGTTCTGAATCATCAGACACCACCTGATTTTATCAAGGCACTGTTTATCTTTTCAAAACCTTTGTACCACTTTCAGTTTACTTTAGATACTCTCAGTCCAACAATTTGAAATTGTTGAATCAGTAATACACAATTCCTTTCACATTCCTTTATGGGGTTTCTTCCTCTGGAGTGGAAAGACATGATTTTTTTTTTTAATCTCTAAAAATCAGCAGTGGCTTACTAAGCCCCCATCTTCTCTCTGGTGGCTTATGCCTCTGTGTATGGTCACTGACAGTGATGCCATTGATAGCTTAGGAATAGTCAGCCAGTGCAGTGCAGTGAGATACTCTTGTAGCCAGGATTCAGGAGGACGACACAGGAGGGTCATTTGAGCCCAAAGCTTAAGAACAGCCTAGATAACATAGCAAGACTGCGCCTCAGGAGGTAGGAAGGTAGGAAGGGAGAAAGGAAGGGAGGAAGACCTGAAAGCAGTTTCCCAAGGTTAGAGAACGTAAATCTACTCTTTCTCTCTTTCTCTCTTTCTTTCTTTCTCTCTTTCTTTCTTTCTCCCTTCCTTCCTTCCCTCCCTCCTTCCTTCTTCTTTCCTTTCTCCCTCCCTTTCTTCTCTTTCTTCTCTCTTTCTCGATCTCTCTCTCCCTCTCTTCCTTCCTTTCTTCATTTTTTATCTTTTTCTTTCGGTTTTTTGAGACAAAGTTCTCACTATGTAGTCCAGGCTAGTCTTGAACTCACTGTCTGGCCCGGGCTGACCTTGAACTCACAGCAGTCCTCCTGTCTCATATTTGAATTTCTATTTTCTACACTCCATCCCACACTAACTACTCTAAACTTGCAATCTCCAGTTTTTTCATATGAATTTGATGTGCATATTCAACTAGGTTCCTTCTTTGACCCAGGGACTTTGTCGTAAGTATTTTTCTTATTGCGGATTCCACTCAGATTTCAGTAAATTCTTGGTAGAAGTACTTCAAGTTCAAAACATTGAAAGACAAGTGATTATGTCTAGAGAAAAGGTATGCCTCCCCCTACAAAGCTTTTTTCAAAATTATGCAGTATTGCCTGTCAAAACAGAAAATGTTGTCAGGTGTGGGAGCATACTTTTGTTATCCCAGCTGCCTAAAAGCTGAGGCAAGAGATTGCACTTTTGAGCAAAGTTTGGGTAATTTAGTTAGATCTTGTCTCAAAGTGACAACAAAAAAATTGTTTTGAAAGGCTAGAATTGCAGCTCAGTATTAGAGTGCTTGCCTCACACACACAAGGCCCTGGATTTAGATCTGGTACCACAAACAAGTGGGTGAGATTTTCATTTTTCTTAATTTCTAGGATATGATGTTTATAGCAAAATAGCCTTTTTAGCCTTGTGAATTTTTAACTAATTAGATTTTCCACTAAAAACTATTATGTTGTTTAACTGCTTACCAGTTTATTAACTTTCTGTGTATTAAGAAAATTATTTCATCAAGTTATTAATTTCTTCCTCCACAAAATGATTCCTAAATTCCTTTCCAGCTTTGCAAGTTGTCTGTTTCTAGGATGCGCATATGAGCAAGATTTTCCAAAGTTAAATAGTGATGACATTGAACAGTTTAATTCTCTGTGACGATTCACAGGATCCTGTTAATTGTTTTTTCACACCTCTTTTTTGGTCTTTCAGTCTTGGCTGAGCATTTGCCATTGACTCCTGAATCACTTAGTGTTTCCTTCAGTTCTTCGCTTCAGCGTTTGGATTTACAGTGGACTGTCCACAAGCTTCCTTACCAGGAATTACAGATGGTATTTCCAATAGAGATCAGTAGAACTGAAACTTCCAAAGTCATCTGGATGGTAAGAATTTATTTATTTTTCTTGGCTCAGTATTTTAAAAAACATTTTCTGATGCTATGACATGTTTTGTAACATCCAAAAAATTCAATTATGCAAACGCATTAGCAGCTTAAAACACTCTTCCTAAAAAATTTTGTGTTTCTGGTTGTTATTTTTTTTAACTTTGGAGATTATCTCAGGCAAAGTAATATGGCCACTTTGGTATTATGGGACGTGTAAGAAAACAGATTATTTTCCTACTTCTGCTGCATTCCCTAAAAAGGTTTATGAGCACTGGATTCCTGAGCTCCATGGAGATCAGCCATCTCATTCCTCTTCCTGATTTCCTCTCTGTCCCTAGTAGGTTTTTCTAAATATGATATAATAATTTCACAAAGTTTTTCTTGTCAGCAAGGCTTCCTGTGAGTTTCATTGTTTCCATTGTGCCAAAAGGCTGAGCAGTGTAAGTCCCAGTCCTTTATTTTCTAGCCAGCAAAGGCTCTCCATGACTCTGTTGGAAAGTAACTTGGGGTCCTTCGTTTCTACACAGGTGGAAAATTAAGAAAATATTTAATATCAGCCTTTTTCAGTTTGAGTAATTTGGAGTAGATTTTCACTCATCTTCCTTCAAATAATGGTAGTTGTTAGAGTATTCTGGTGCAATAGAGAAGCAAAAAGTACAAATCAAAAAGAATAGGCTTATTGAGTTGAGGATGTGGAAAAGAGCACACAACCCATGGCGGCTGGGCTGTCTCCTTCAACCGGATACACAGAGGCAGAGAGTTATATACCTCTGATTAGAAGTGGCTCATGGGGTGGATCTTGATGATGTGTGAGGAACCGACTGGAATTCTTTGTGTGTGCGAATAGGAAAGGGGAGGTGCAGTTAGGGCTGAAGAAGGAGCAGGAAGTGGTAGGCGTTCCTGCTTTGGCCTTCCACCACGTTAGACCACCGCCATAATTGTACAGTAATCTATTCTAGGGCAAGAACTTTCAGTGGTGTCTATTGTGATACTTCCCATCTAATGCCCTGGGACACATTGGTTTTTATACACCACAATTGCAGGTCTAGAGAATCTTAATAAGGGTGAGTCATTGTCACAGGATGATGAAGGACAGTGGAGTATTTCTTACTGAAGGGACCTGAGAATCCTACAGATAAGGGAACACAGGACTGCTGGGACCTCTGTTATTACCACCCAGATCCACCTTCTCCCAGGCACAGATGGAGGCCCTCAACACAAGGATCTAGCATGTTAACCTTTCTAGTAAAACCTAAAGGTCACTAATGCTAAATCTTCAGTTGCTACTCTGTGTTTGCATTTCAAACCTGAATAAAGTGGGAAATAAACTACTGACTCCGGCCACTTAGGATTCACATGAGGTCTATAATCCACCTGCTCATGGAGCAGTTTCCCACCATGCAAGCTATTCAGTGTGCTGACTGTAAAATAGCAGTGTCATGTGTCACTGCCCACTTCCCACCATCAGCACGTCTTCCCTTCTTGCAGGCTCATGTTAAGAAGGCTGACTTTTCTGTTTTTGGTGGATGATCTGGTGAGTAATTTGGGCCCACAAAAACACTGAGCAAAGATCTTACTCAGGCTAAGAATAGGCCAAGAAAAAAAATGGGGTTGGGGAGGATCTGTTGAAAGAATTCTGCAAAACTGGCACTTATCACCATTAGAAAAACCAACTTTAACCGTAGAGTAATTGGCACTATTCAAAAAGGCAGTTCATATCTCTTTTATAAGAGAGAGTCATATTTTTCATTGGCTAAGTGGATCCCATTCATTATTTTTCTAAAAGCAGTTGTTCATATCTGTTTCATATCAGATGCAGGTGTTAGTTTCTTTGCAAAGAAAAGCAATTGTGGAAGCTACTTCAGTAACTTACCAGGGATCAATGTCCTCAAGAGTTTTTTTGCCTGCAACAGAGGAGAAAATTCACAGCACAGAGTGCAGCTGTGCGGCTTAAGGTGATAGCCACAGGACAATGGCGTTCTTCACTCCCATGTGATCAAAAGTGCAAGATGACTAGTGCAGCCTCCCCAGGCCATTAGTGCCCATGTGTCTACAGAATGGCTGTTGCCATGAGAGACCCTGGCCTGACCCTCGAAGTCTGACTTTGAGGAGACTAGTCTTATGTTGATGAGGAGTCCCGGGGCAGGACTGATAGAACACTCTCATATTGAGGGCAGTTTCAAGATCCCTATCTCAGATCACTGTGTTCTGAAATAAACCAGAGGAAAGGCATCTTGATGTAGGTCCTTGCAGCTGGACCAAGGGCAATTTATGGACAGTGCTGGCCACACAGAGCTCCACTGTCTCTGCTTGTCCCAGCCATTTACTTGAGCGTTTTGTCAATGGCAGGGAAGGCAAACCAACAACTCGGTTTGGAAGGAGGCCGGGAGTGTGAATCACACATCTCAACAGTGAATCAGTGACCCCAGTTAGACTTCTGCCTTAATATGCATGAAAGTTTTATTTTACTTACTAATGTCTGTAAGGGCCAAATTAAACTGACTTCATTGAATGAAAACAGCCCAAAGGCAATTCATCGCATTTTTTAAAAAAGCCTTATTGAATTGATATATTCAAAGAAACTTTTATTTCTTTCATTTACAAGGCTTTAGAGACCACAAGACACAAGACAAACTTAGACACAATTCATTCACAAAGAGCAGCTAGGAGAAATACAGTCCTCTGCTATCAATGAAGTGACTAATCTTGGACTAGGGTCCAGGACTGGCATTGTGCAAGGCACGCTGATACTGCTGAGGGGCAAATGCACAAGTAGCCGTATTCTAAATGAGGATGTGTGTGCAGGTCACTGGCCAGGTGTTTGCTGGGGCGAAGGCCCTGCCTTTGCCCACAATTTGAATGATGGGTTGTTCGAATCCAAATAGAAAAGAGGACTAGAAGCAACTTAACAGAGAAGGTGGAACAGAGGTGTGTGGGAAACTTGACAGGTGCGATCTCGGTCCTTGTGAGAGTGGCTGGTGAGCTGCCAGGCCTGGAGGACAGTGTTTTATGTGGTATTTGAGAATGGGGAGAAGCTTGAGCAGACGGATGGGAGCAGACCACATAGACCATGGGGAACACACTCATGTTTTGTTATTTTTATCTCAAGAGCAGCAAGAATCAGGGAAGTGGCACAACCTGGTTTGAAGCCTGTGAAAGCCTATTCAGGTACACAGCAGACAGTTAGTGGTCAGGAGACCTGGAGCAGCAGAAGTGGCTTCTGGGAAGCTGGCTGTGGGGTTGGGCCTGGCGGGGATGGGAGAGAGACAAGACGGGCTGCAGTTGAGGGCGATGCAGTATTGTGTGGTGTGGATCCAGTCTGGGTGTGTTAGCATTTATAGTTCATGTTTTTTTTTATTTTCTTTTTTGTGTTTGTTATTTGCTTTTACATAGAAATATGTCTTTTGACCTAAGGAAAAAAGCTATGCAGTAAATTAAAATAAAATACGAGCACTTGAAAACATCACAATTCTGCGTAGGGTGAAAAAGACATGCACATTTCGGTAGCACCACGGTGGACTAGGGTGCTTTCATCCTAGGCCACTGTTCCTTTTGCCACAGACACAGTATAAATTTAAGACTTTAAGCCAGGCATAGTGATACATGGCAATAACTCCTTACTACAGGAGGCTGAGGTAGGAGGATCACAAGTTTGAGTCCATCCTCAGCAACAGCTTAGTGACAGTGAAATTTTAACTCAAAACAAAATGAAGCTAGGAATGATAGAAAAAAATGCCTTGTGTTCGATCACTAGTACTACTACAAACAATAATAACAAAATATATGAAAAAAGAAAGGGGATCTCACAAGGATTCAGGACTGAGTGGGGGTAAGCCTTAAATTGCCACCTCTACATTGTGACGTGTGCATTATGCATGTTTCCATACATTTCCCCTGTTCACTAAGAACTTATCATTTATCCTCAGCTACATGGCTGCAGACTCAGACTTGGTTTCCCCTGAGAAGTTTAAGTGTTTGTAGTCTCCACCTCCTAGCTGCAGGGCCTTGTGGAAACTCCTACAGAAAGCAGGAGTCCTGGAGGAGTTACACAGAGAACAATGAGTGACTGGATGCCTGGGAGACGTAAAGAGGAGGGACACACACTCCCAGCTCTAGAATCAGATGAATACCAACAACTAAACACAGGAGGGCTTCAAGAGAGCTGCAGATGGGAGACATTCAGGGGAAAGAACAAAATCTGGGACCTGGCCAGTCTGCACACGCATCTCTTGTTTACAATACCTCTCTGTGTGTATTTGCCCATCATGGGTTGATGAGGGCTGAGGAAGTAGCTCAGTGGCAAAACACATGCTTAACTTGCATGAGGCCATGGGTACCATGCCCAGCACCACAGAATAAATAAGTAGCTTCATGAAGGAATTGGGGTATGGTCTGGGATTCAAGGATGAAACAAATTCAGAGGGTGTTGGGGAACTAGGCCAGGAGTAAAAATATGAGGCAAATTCTGAATGTGTCAAAGTGGACCTGTAGATCCAGAAAAAAGATTCCTGAAAGGGAGAGATTCGTGGGAGCCAAATTCAAGGCCCTCTAGGGCCTTGAGTAACAAGGTAAAATGTAATGGAACTGTGAAAGCCTATTGCCTCAGAGAATGGAAATACCAGTGTCTAACAAAGATGATGACCAATGGGTAAAATATTAAAAGACCAAATTTCAGTTCACCCTGGACAAGCTGCCAAAGATGGGCATGGTCTATGTGGCCTCCATGTCTGAGAAGACAAAAACCACAGGAGACATGGAGACCCTTCTGCTGAGTTCTGGAGACTGAAAATTCCACAGTGCCACCAAGAATGGCCTGTTCTCAGGACATGTGGCCAACCTGGTCATATCAAATATTAATATGCTAAAATACCTATCAACCTTTGTTATTTTTAACAGGGTGATTCAGTGACATCTCTAGTTTTCAGGGATTTTCTGAGCAGATTCTCTGTGACTGTAACTGTGAACACTTTGTCTCTGATCATTCCTCCCAAGATTTGAGTGGCTTCTGTTTATTTTCCATTTGTTACATGGGGCTCCTGGACTTCAAGGAAGAGAATTGACACTTGAGTTTTCAAGAAGCAGGAGGAGGCCATAGCTGCCCAACTGCTGAGATAGCTGAGCAAGGGGGATTGATTGGTTAGAATGAACTTCACTTGTATGGATTGCAACAGTTTAAGATTGTGATTTGAGGTAATTCAGGTTGAGCCAACCCCCAGAAGAGGAGGGCTGCATGTTTCCACACATTTCCTTTACTTTTAGGGTAATTACAGCACCATTGTGAAGAGGAACCAAGTTCTGCACTGGTCTTGGGAATCCGAGCTCCCTTTGGAATGTGCAACACACTTTGTGAGAATAAAGAGTATAGTGAACGATGCAAGGTTCCCTGAGCTGAGTTTTGAGAGCAACTGGAGTTCCTGGGAGGAAGTTCATGGTAAGAAATAAAGTGGTTACTAGAGTGATTAGGTTTAGTTCTTATTACTCAGGGATCAGTTGGTCACACAGTGGAATTTCCCTCTGAGCAATCCTAGCTAGATATCTGACAGTATTTTCCTGCTGTTCATGTTGGAGCTAGAAAAGCATGATTGTAAAATTTGCCCCATGAAGATGGATGTCTGAGGTTTTCCCTTTGAGCTTAGTTATTGAGGTAATTATGTAGTTTGGACAATTCTGTATTCGTTTTCCAAATATGTAAGATACGTTTATTATATAATTCTAAGTGACCACGGTAGGCCATAAACCTTATATAACTGTTTTGGCAGACAGTATTTGCAGGGCTAGTGATGAGGCCATTAAGAGAATTTTCCAGCAGTCAAGGGATATAGGAAGGACAAGAGTTTATTAAGATTGGAATTCCTGCCGAGTGGGACAGTGGGCAAGTTTTCCAGAGAGGAGCTGCACCATAAGAGTAGGAGAGGTGTCTCCATAAAGGTAAGACATGGGAAAGGGGCCCAGACTGTGGATCTTCCTATCTCGGAAATGCTTCTTCTGGGGCCTTTGGTTTCTGCTGGTCCCTTGGGGACACCTATACTGTTGGTAAAATTCTTTAGTAAAGTCACAACTTAAGTTCTCACTCAGGTTTCACAGCAGCCCTTCAGACTTAGTTAAGGATATCTGTAATTTTTTTGTGGTTTTGTTGTTGTTGTTGTTTTGTACCAGGATTGAACTCATGACTTTAAGCTTGTAAGGGAGGCACTTATGTCACTGAGCTAAATCCCTGGCCCCAGACATCTGAATGTTTTAACCTTTTGGGGAAAGATACTACATTAGCTCAGGGGAGGAAAGGACAGTATTTTCATTTACTTCTTTTGGTGCTATTGTTACTTCTCCTTAGTTCAGTGCCTCATGAGTGTCCAGCAAACACTGGGCAGAAGTTTCCATGCTGAGAATATTATCCATTTTGTCAACACCATAGAAGTTTTCACTAAAACAACAGAAAGACTGTATATATCTGAAGTGGAGGTGGGGAATCATTTTCTGTAAAGGTCCCAACAGTCTCTGTTGTGTTTGTGCTACTCACTTCTGTCTTTGAAAACAGCCATAAACAACATGTAGACTAATGAGAATGACTGTAGTCCAATAAAACTACAAATACAGATGGATCCAGAGGCCATAGTTTACCAGTCCCAAGGCTAGAAAGAAGAAATACAATAAAATATAAAAAATAAAAGCAGTTATTCATTGGAGTGATGAGATCCTTAACAAATATATTTTAAATGTCCATTATTTGATAATTTAATTTTGTCATAATTATAATTTCAAGTGAGTTTTTCAGTAGCTTCTCATGCTTTAAACTATCAGCCCAATTCTAAAACAATGGTGTATTTCTATCTCACCTGCCAATTTATCTGAAATTCTGCCAATAGAATCATTTTTTTACTAAGCAAATATGTAAATTTATTCGCTCAGATTTACTGATGTGAGTAGTTTAGTGCTTGTATTAATAATACGGATAGAATGGAGTTCCCACTACTGTTTTAAGCATTAGACATTAATTTCATCCTCACATCTCCCCTAAGAAATGTGCTTTATTCTTATCTCTACTGCAGCAACAAGGAAACCAAGTCCTGGGGAGGTTAAAACCCATGCAGGGATCATGCTATTAAATAATGGAGCCAGGATTGGCCCAGAAAACCTGACCCCAGAGGTAACCTCTTAATGATTACATCCTACTGCTGAAAGAGGGACACATGTGAGACAAAAAACTAGAGATTAAAAAGAAAGAGTAAAACAAAAACAACCACAATATAAACAGCTTTGGTTAAATAGACTATTTTGCTCAAAATTATAGCCCCAAAAGTAACACAAGAATCAATGGAATTTATAACCTGTCTTAGTCACTTTCCTTGTTACTTGGACAAAATACCGACCACTCACAACTTCAGGAAGGAGAGGTTTATCTTGGCTCACATTTTAGGAGTTTCAGTCTTGGATGGTGAGCAGGCTCCATGCAGAAGCCACATAATGGAGGAGTCAGCAGAGGAGAGGCGCCCATGCCGTAGCAGTCAGGAAACAGAAGTGAAGGGAGGATTCAGGAAGGGAGACACACTCTTCCAGGTCACACCCACAGTGACCCCCTCTTCCAGTGGACCCCACCTCCAAACAGAAAGCCAGCTCTGAACGTCCCATAACCCAGTCACCATCCAAATGCTTGAGGGCTTGGGAGTCACTTTAGATATAAAGTACAATGCAACCATGGATTCTTATCTAAAATTGTGTAACTGCTTCATTGGGGAACTTGAAAAGGAGGATAAGTTCTGGTGAGGTCAGTGACAACAGTTTTCAGTGATGGCCAGATAGCTGGGCAGCCAGACTGGGTTGGTTGAATAGGTGTAGAGACCGAGCACCAACCACAAGCAGCTTCTTCAGGGAGGTTGACTAGCAGGTGAGGCTGGAGAAGGAGGCAGGAAGGGGATAGGAGGATAGACGACGAATTTCCTTAATAGGGAGATCCCATAGGGTTTGAAATGCCAGCAAATCCTGCAGCAGGAGCAACAACAACAAAAGGAGATGGGATTGGAGTGACTGGCATTTCTAAAAGGTGTGAAGATATGTGATTCATGAATAGGGGAGAGATGATGAGGGGTTTGTGACTTGGGAACTTTGTGGACCTAGCAGACCCAAACATAGCTTTGCCACTGATTAGCAGAGCAGACAGGCGGAGGGTGCCATAGTAAAGATGGACATGAGATAATTTACACAGCCTCTCAACACAGGGCCTGGACAGTAGACAGTACAATCATCCACAGTGACACTAGTAATCATGCTGTCTCTGGAGTATCAGCAACAGTAGTGGTATTCCTGTGACAAGAGTAGCTATGTTGGGAAAGATGCTCCAAAGGGTATAGGTTAGTGTAGAAATTTAACCTGCTGCTTTCTCTAGAAGGTAGGTGAAGCTAGTTATCTGCTAAGGGAGAAGTAGGGAAGGAGTTGCCTTGAATTCTGAGTGACACTCTAACCAAGCTTTTTGTTTTCTTGTTTGTTTTCTTGAAGCCCACACTCCTGGACAGAAGCCATTGCTGTTCCCTAAAGATAAGCTGGTGGAAGAAGGTGCCAATGTCACATTTTGCTTCAATTCTGGGAGAAAACATGGCATGTCATGTTACTTGGAAGAGGAACTGATTCATGGAGAACAACTTGATTCAAATATATTCACATTCAAATTGACTAACGTTCCCTTCATTAGACAAGAAGGAACACATGTCTATTGTGGGGTAAACTATGATCTTCTGGATGGCACTGTTCTCTTTGTGTCAAGTAAGTGTGCAAATGTTCTCCCTACCTCCCTTATTTCCAATGGAATACATAAAAATCTTTAATGTGCATGCATTTGTTTTTCTGTTTCCCATATCTTCTAGGTAAGATTGTTTCAGGGATGTCCTGAAACAATATTCAAGGATTTCCTGTTGTCTTCTTGCCCTTACTGACAATTTGATTACTAGAAAAAAGCTGCCATTAAGGAGAGAATGTTCAGATCAAGGGCTGGAACACTGAGAAAATATTTTGCTTTGCTTCCACCATGATAAATTTATCTCAAGCCGATGCAGGGAGGATGGGGGCTGCAGGTCAGCTGACCACAGGAAAGCAGTGAGGCTGGCAGCCCGAAAGGCTTGGTTGGGTTCACATCTTTCTCCCCCTGAGGCCTTCCTCTTGGCCAAGTTTCTGGGCCGGTCAGAGCTGGTTTCCATCTCTGTGCAATGGAGTGATGATGCTGGCTGTGGGCATTGGTACACAGGGGGATGCCTGGCCTGATTGTGCTCACTGCACGTAATTAAAGTTACCGAGTGGTGGCCTTTCACTGGTTCTGTGGGCTGTATCAGTGCAGTGGGAGCATGTTGATTTTCCTATAGATCTCTGTGTGCCTGCTGGTGACCTACTGGTTTTGTCTTGAGGTTCCTGTTCCCCTAGATGATAGGGCAATTCACTTAGACGGTGGGGAATTCCTACTTCCCTAGACAGTAGCTGTCTGTGACAGCGCTCTCCCTGCTTCCTTTCCAAAGGAAGTAAGGTAATGCCAGCTCCTGGATGCTTAATTCATCTGTACCCTTTAGTGCGGCCCTGGGAGCAGCCATAACTGTCATCTTGAAGGTAGGTACTTCACTATCTCTGGATCACTGGACTCCCAGCTATTGAGTTTGGCCAGTTCACAAATTCTGACTTTCTGGCATTCCCTAGGCTTTCTGCAAGCCACCGCAAACAAAATGGAAGTACTACCAGGCACTGGGGACATACTCTTTGTCAAAGGGACACAGTGCCAGCCATTTACCCAACACTGACTTCCTATCGACCCATGGTATCCCAGAAGTTACAAGAGAATCAGGAAAGACAGGGGGCCAGGAGGCTGAGATGCCTGAACTAGGACTGTCTGATGCTGTTGACTGGGTGTGGGGGGCTTCAACCGCAGGCAGCCCTTCCCTGGTCAGCGTGCCCCTGTGGCTTCAGACCCGAGCAGAGCTTTCTGTCTGACTTGTCTCTCAATAAAGGGGCTTAATAGGCCTTACCACTGCTTGTTTTTCTTCTTCCCATGGGCAGAAGTGCTGGAGGAGCCCAAGAATTTTTCTTGTGAAACCCAAGACCTAAAGACTCTGAACTGTACCTGGGATCCTGGGGTGGATACTAGCTTGAGTTATGATCGACAGCAACAAAACTACATTTTATTTGAATCGTAAGTGAGATCTGGTAAAACTGTTGACAGAGTTTTCCTTGTTCCTTGTTTATGATGCTTGTGACTACATAAAAGCTACATGTAGTTATTGGAGAAAAGTTACGTAAATATTTCTAATCTTTGTACCACAGTCAGAAGATCTTTAGGTAATGGCATGTGTGTAATATTTCCTACCTCAGATTTTATTTTTCAAGTATGTACATGAAAGTGAGAAAGATAGTTAATGGTACATCCGTTATGTGTAAACAGTCCCATCTTTTCATTAGAACTTACCTAACTTTTCTGCTTTTTAAAGAATAATCAATTAGTTGATATTCTCAGAGGGAGAATCATGAATTGATTGTTAACACTTTTAATAACATGTAACAAATTCACTGAAATGAATTTCATTTCTCCTATTTGTTGGTACTAGATCAATGTCATATGGAATGTAGTTTGAGAATCAGACACCAAGTGTGCTGAAGAGATAATTATACATGTGCTTTGACGAAAGTGTCAACACTGAAATGGTCATTTTGTTTTTTAAGGTTTTCTGGGAAAGAGAAGTATTGTGAGCACAACAAGTGGTGTACTTGGGAAATTTCTCAAGATTTGGAAGCAACATACAACTTCACACTCACAGCTGAAAATTACTTAAGGAAGAGAAGTGTCAACTCTGCTTTTAAACCAATTGATCGAGGTAAGATTAGAGTTGACAGCTCACTATGGCCACTGACATACCCTTGACACACTGTGCAACCAAGTGCAGTGCTGGATTATTGGGTCCTGACCTAGATCCCCAGTCTCCTAAACGAGTCTCCTACAGCGAAGGCTTAAATAAAATGAGACAAGTGGTGTGATTTTAGGGCTCCAGGAGGGTCAAAACCCCTTAGCTGTGTTTGAGACTCTGAGGGCTACGACAAAGACTTCTCTGGACCACCTGCATTTTAGTAGCTCCTAACAAAGATCAGGGAAACTGAGGAAAGCATGGGCAATAGGCAGGACCCTGGGAGTCAGTTCAGAGACTTCTCCAAGTAATAAATCATGTCAATTTAGGAGAACTGTCTTATGGTGACATGTGTGGTAGGAGTGAGACTGTAGGAGTAATTCCTGCAGCTGCATTGTCTATCTACTTAATTGATGTTTGCGCCAAGTGTCCGCAGCTGTGGCCTTATCTTGCCCTTTGAGGTATCTCTGGCCTCACAGGCCACTACAGGCCTCAGCCAGGACCAGTGATTCGTAGAGGTTCACTTACTATGAATTAGCTCCCATCGCAGGCAAGGGGCCGAGGCCTAGGACGGACGCACAGATAAACATGGAAAGCCAATTAGTAAAATTTAAATCCTGCTCAGAGCTGCTTCGTAGTGGTCTCCAGCACTGGAGATTTTTGCATATTTTACATGTGAAATTTATACTTGATGCTTACAGTCTATGCCATGAGTCTTCTCGGGTGTCCACATTCCCTCTTATGTGTTTGTCTCAATATTTTAAGCATCAGTGAGCTAAGCAACTTTGAAACCAGATTCTGACATATACTTGTTTCCTGTTCTGTCTCGAAGCCTTCCCACCCTCCTCCTGTCAAGATTGTTACTTTAAATTGTGTATAAGTGTGTATGTGTGCATTCTTGTTTCTTACATAATTTTTTAAAAGTTTTTATTCTGTTTACTTTTAATGTATCAGAAGAACATCAGGCTGTCTATAATAGTCTAGTAATTTTTTTCAGTATTTTTGAATTGCTAGGCTTTGCTTATATCAGAGTGCTCCTGCAGTCCATTGTACTACTGTATAGTATTTCATAAATATACAAACTTTTTGTGTTTTTGAGACAGGCTTTCACTATGCAGTTCAGGCGGACCTTGAACTCACTTTGTAGCCCAGGCTGGCCTCAGACTCACAGTAATCCTCTTGCCTTAGCCTCCCGAGTGCAGGGATTGCAAGCATGCCCCACCACACCAGACTCAATATTGTACTCATCCATCTTTTTCTTTTAGTTCATTGGGTTTTTATTTTATTTTTCTTTATTTCTTTTTTCCTTCTCCTTCTCCTCCGCTTCTTCTTTTTTTTTTTTTTTTTTTTTTTTTTTGATTTGCAAAGTTCAGGGTGAGCTTGAACTTGTGGAGATCCTCCTGCCTCAGCCTCCTGAGTGCTGGAATTACAGATGTGTGCCACCACACCTAGAATTCATGTATTTCTTTCGATGGATATGAATTTGTGTCAGATATTTTGCTTTGAGCATTTTTTTACATGTGTTCAGTGTACATGTAACAGTTTTTTTTTCTTGAATATTTAGCTAAAAATGGAATTGGTGCAGACATAGAGTAGATATGTTCACCATGTGAAATCATATCCTGTTATTTCCAAAGCATTATTGCAGGTTATTTCCCAAGTGTTATCCCAAATACATTCCCACTCTATGGATTCACATTTTCTCTCAAGTTGCTATTGTCACTCTATTAATTTTTACCAAATGAATTGGTGTAAAATATTGCACAATAGTCTTGATCTGTACCATCTTTGAAGTTAAATCTCTTTTCTTCTATTTTGAACACATTGGTTTCCTCTTTTATTTATTAATGCTATTTTTGTACTTTTCTATACTTTTATACTTTTTGCATTGTTAAGAATTATTTCTATTTTCTTGACACTGATTTGTTGTTATTGATTTGTACATTGCTAATATCTTCTGACAGTTTGTAATGCTTCAATTTCTTGTACATGTTTATTTATGAGCTAAAGTTCTCAATTTTAATATAGACAGTTATACCAAAATCTTTTAAAGAAGTATCTTCTGTAATTTTCTACTTAAAATTGTAAATTTTTTAAAAAGACAATTCAATCCCTATTCCATCTAGGACTGTTAAATAAGGTAGAAACATTAGACTGAATTTTTCTTATGAGCATTCATCGTTCCATTTCTATTTATTAAATAGCTCCTTTCCCTGTGGTTTTAATCTGCCTGCTATCACTGTTGTGAGGGTATCAGAATTGTAGACTCAGCTCTCCTGACCAGTTTGTCTGTTTCTAGCATTACAGTGACTTGATGAACTCTTTGATCTCTTGCCAGAAACTATAGATTGCCTTTTGTGTTGGCCAGACACATCAGACCCAGAGGCTTCCAACTATGCTGGAGTCACTGAAGGGATACTACTGCAGTGCTCCCTTTTCTTGAATACAGAAGCGGCTTTTTTAGTTAGTATCTCAAGCCAGATTCTGTTTTTAGTGGAGACTCCCCTTTTGTGCTTCTGTTCTCTCCTCTGTTGCTGCGGCTTCTCCCCTCTTCTCACAGCTCATCCTCCACTGCCCACACCAGCATTTGCAGCTCCCTGGGCGTTGGCCCTGTGCCTTCTCTCCTGCCCACTGGGTGTCTTTTCTGTGGATGATCTCATTCAGGCTGGTGGCTTGAGGGACTTTCTGTGCTTCTCCCTGCTAGGAATTGAACTCGGGGCCTCATACAGGCTAGGCATGCACCTTACCAGCGAACTACACCCAGGCTTTTAAAATTTTACTTCGGTACAGACTTGCTAAATTGCTCAGACTACCCTCAAATTTGCAGTCCTCCTGCTTCAGCCTCTCAGGTGCATGGGATTATGGGTTGGACCATCATGCTCAGTTTTGCAAATCCTTTTGCTGTAGAATCTTTATACATGTTATTCATGTTTTTCTAGGATGCTTTTCCTTCCTATTTTTTTTTTTTTTGTCTTTTTCGCTTTTTATCAGTAGCAGGGATCGAACTCATGACTGCCTGCTTGCAAGGCAGGCGCTTATGCCGCTGAGCTAAATCTCCAGCCCCTTTCCTTCCTATTTTATCTTCTGGACTTCTATGTATCTCTTTGGGGTTTTAGCTTATTCACCATGTTAGCCTCGCATAGCATGTGAACAAAACTGAGCTACTGTCCCTAAGGAACTTATATGCTAATGCACGTTAAGGGGGTTGATGATGAGAGTTGAGGGGAACTTATATAGTAAGCAAGTCAATAAAGTAACTTAAAGTAATTATAAATCCTTTTTAAAAGATAAGATTCCAATGGGACAGAACATACCTGAGATGCTTCTTCAGCTAGTATTATTAGGGAGAATACTGTGAGAGTCAAGTCCTAAAGGATGACAAGGGGCCAGCCACCATCAAGAAAAGCATTTGACATAAAATTTATAGATTTGAAAAGGCTCAGTATAGTAACAAGCCCTGGGATTTTAAGGAACAGAAGCCATGTCTTTACTGCAGTGGTAGGCAATGGCCAATCATAATAGCTGTTGAACTGGGTAAGGCATTTAATATGAAAGGACAGAAGCATTAATATTAAGAGGAGAGAAGCCTGGTATGATTTACATGTAGCTCACATGAAGCTCAAGCTGAGCATCAGTGTTAAGGGTGAGGCAGGGACAGGAAGTCCCTGCAGGAGTCAGAGAGTCACACAGCTGGTGGAAAGCAATAATATTCCGAGGGAAGTTCGGAAAGAAGTTGGTCAGACTTACATAGGGAAAGCATGAGGATTAAAAAGGAAGGAGACATGTAGGATGAATTTTGGTTTAAACAACTGAGCAAATAAATACTGGCAAACACCAGCCCACCAAGGTTTTGTTAGTTGTAGTTGTGAGATCTTGTGAGGTCAGCTAAGTAAAAAGAGGGCATATCTGGATTTTTTCCATGCCAGATCCTCACTTGATAAGTCCACTGTCAGGTTTGGATGGTGGACATTGGCATTGGAATGCTGGTGCATGATGAAAAAGTTGCTGTGCTTGGTGACACAGAAAGGTCCATGATGGCGCATTCACTGCTTCATGGTTACCTGTAGTCGCCACAGCTGGTAAGAACCTAACAAAAAGTGTTCCACTTCCAGGACTCAGCTGCATGTCCCTGGGGAGAAAGCAGTGATAGGACAGTGCCCCATTCCCTGCTCTTCCCAGGATCTTAAGTGTTCCCTGCCTGTAGGGTGGGGATTGGGTTGAGTTGGTTTTAATGTCCTATTCTGTCTGTCCTTTCCTGAGACGACTGCTTCTGTGGACACCAATTTTGCTTATGGATTGGCAACGATCTTTCAGCTTCTGTGTTCCAGTCCAAGAAAGGGGGCTGTGTGCTGTATAAACTTGACATGTCTAGAAATATTGCCCATGAACTGGAAGTTTCAGACGTTCCCAGTGCCACAAAGAAACTTTTACTTGGGCATTCTTTGGTCCTTTTCTCAGCCTACATAGGACTAAATAGGTGTGCTTACAGGGGAAGCATCGCCTCCAGATTAGAACTGGAGGGCAGGTGACTAGGGAACTGTAGAAGCCTGCAGCAAACCACCCAAGGATATGTGCTTTAAAGAGAAATGGTGAGAGTAATGACTAGAACACTGAGACTCGGATTTCACAGTTACTGCGCAGTCAGGTGACTGCCCAGCCCACATCTACCTGTACCAAACTTGTATTTCCTAACACAATGCAATGCCAAGCTCCCCTGTACCTGAGTAAGTGTTTATTGTGTCCATGTTGCCCTAGTGAGATGGGGTTCTACCTAGTCGCAGCTGATTTGATGTTCTTCCTTAAAGTTGTGTGAGTTGGTTGCTGTATCTTTCAGTGACTGCATTGATTTGCAGATGATGGAGGGTGCATGAGAAATTCATTGTCTTCCATTCAAGTGTGCCCATTCTTGCATTGCTTGGGCAGTGAAGGATGTTCCTTGGTCAAAGTGAAATCTTACATTATATCCAAAAAAT